ACTAGGATCACTGGATTATAATATTGACAGTTTAACTCTAGTCTGGACTTGTTTCATTGGAATTTCATCTGGGGCTCAACTAAAAGCCCGAACATGTGATATTTAATTCAACATTAAAAGTATAAAGCCAGAGGGTTCACAACCCAAATGGGTGAGATGTTTCCCTTTTATCAGAGGTGGAACAGCTACTCATAGTACTAATACCATACTGTAAAAGTACTTGGTTATGAATAACAGCCTGTTTAATTTGACATTAAACTGGGAATTTCACATTTGAATGCTAAAACAACTGCAGACTCACTTTACTGAAAATGTTTATGCAGTCAAAGCTGTTTCTAGGACGTCTCTGAGGTTTCATCTCATGGCTGCTCAGATGGATTATGAAACAATGAGCATGTGGACACAGGTTCAAGGAGCCCCTCCTCTCCTATGTCGGACCCCCCAATGGATGCTGTTCAATCATTTTCAGTTCTTTTGTGTAATCTTTGTTTTTTGTTGTGCTTTCTAACTGACCCCTGGGCCCAGTAGGTGCATCTACTAATCCATCCTTACGAGCTTGTGATCATCACTGAAACGTCTCTTGTATGTCCATCATAAGACCCTCACCAACCACACACTGACTTCACTGTAGGCTGAAAACCTGCACTGGTGATAATCAGCAGTCATGAATGTGTGGAATCTATGGTCCCTTTTCATCCTGGGAGGCTTCCCAACACACCTGCCTTATGTACCTGTAATCACATGATTAGCACTCAGGAAGTCATGAATGCTGATCATGGTTTCACATCTACAGTCATTTTGCCTTTATTTCAAAATAAGAGTGCACTGTTGGTGAAGATAATGTCACCCAGGTTTTAAACTGAGCCGAATTAGCCGACAACAGCATCTTTGCCTAAAATAAGCCACATCTGAGGAACACGCCCCAGGGGTGGCTCCAGGTGTTTACCGTGGATATCGTCCTCTTCTTTTTCTTCAAGCTGGATTGTGGGCGCCGCTCCATCTGGCCTGGATACATCCTGCCAGGACAGGCGCTCACCACCCTCTGAGGCTGCTCTTCTTCCTCTGTTTCTACTCAAGGTTCCTCCATCTGAGGTGTTAATACTCCTGTTTTCCGTGGCTGTCATAGACAGAGGGATGGAGGGGCAGGATGAAGACTCACAGAGAGGCTCAGAGACGTCTCCCTGTGAGAAGGACCAACGTTTTTACCGCGGATCAGGAAGAGAATAAATGTACTTTTCACTCTGATACTCACATTTTCAGATTCTGTTGTGCCCTGTTCAGAGTCTTGAGAACAGGTTGAAACGGGCTCGTCACCCTCCTGATCGCTGCTCTCGCTGTAGCACTCTGCAGACAGACAGGACGAAAGGAGGTGAATGGAAAGAAAGAGGGAACAAGGAAATCGAAAAACAATGAGGAACAGAAGAAGAATGTGCAAAGAAGGGAAGAATGAAAGAGTAAGATGGAGCAAAGAGAAAGTAAAGCAACAAGTAAATATAGAGGAACAAATGAAGGAACCGGGGGGGGGTCTGACCTTCAGTGTTGATCACTTCATGCTGCTTCGCTGCTTCTGACAAGTTGGTGATCCACCTGCAGACACACACTGGCTCCAGTGAGCAACACAACATTCAACACAATTTACAGCAATGTCTCATCTTTCTACAACAGAGAAGAAGAGGAACCGGGTTTATTTTTGTCCCGTGCAAAGTGGTGATAAAGTGCAGTGATCAGGGAGAAATGGCTTGAGTCAAATGTCAGCCTCATGGTGGCGCTAGAGGAAAAGTCATCCTCATGTAAACACAATCCATCCAACATTTGTTGAGACATTTCTGTATAGACCAAACACCCCCATAGAGTTGTGTTCAAATCCTTCTACTAAAATATAAACAAATAATAAAATACTCACTTATTCATCTCTATGAAGCTTTCTGCAGCGAAGAAAATGGTCACAACCAGTGGATGAGTGGCTATTATGGCACTGAAACACAACACAGGAGCAGTCAACAACAACAACAACAACAACGCCTAAGGTCATGTTTATTTCCAAAGCAGAAAAAAACCAGGGGCCTATTTCAAGAAGGCGGTTTTGTCGAAACTCAGAGTTTGTTAACCCCGAAATGAGGGAAACGCGGAGTTTTCGGTTTCAGAAACGGAGGTAACTTAAACCCGTGAAAGCGGGGTAAGTTAAACCCGTTTCACAAAGAGAGGTAATCTAAACTCAGAGTCAGTTACTATGGCAACTTACTCTGTGAACCTAACCTGCTTGGGAGCAGGTTTTGTTCGGGAAACTCAGTTTCCTCTGGGTCTCCGCCCCTTTTTAAAGTGAAAGGTGTTTAATACCTCATTTAATCTTTCAGTACATTCATAGATTGCACACGTTTCCGTCACGCAGAGACCAAAATGGCGTGTCCATTCATAGAGG